GAATATATACAATTATGTTGGCCTTGGCTATAGCTGAGTTGGATAATTCTTTTTTTATTTGGCTTATCTTATGTTCTACCAAGTAAATAAAAAGAGGGCAAGCACATTAAGATTAGGATATTAACATATAAATTATTAGGAATTACAACAATTACTACTACTCATTTTGCTTTCATAATAATAATTTTCTTAGTAAGGGACTGATAAAACACACCTGGTTTACTTAACTGGAAAAAAATTTAAATTTGGTTATTTGGGTTGTTACTACCAGATATGTAGTAATATTCAAGTACTGAATTAAACTGAAATTAACCTTCAAAGTCATATGAAATACTGTTAGTGTGCAGAATTTTCTATTTTTTACTTATTTTTTTTTATCCGAACCCGAGGACATTTTCCCATTTTTTTGTTCAGGTAGAGTGGGAGGGAGAGAGAGGAACAGAGAGAGAGAGAGAAACATCGACGTGAAAGGAACACATCGAGTGGCTGCCACCCGCACAACCGACCAGGGCTGGGGACAAACTGCAACCGAGGTACGTGCCCTTAGCGGGAACCGAACCCGGGTCTCTCAGGATCGCAGGCCGACGCTCTAACCGCTGAGCCAAACCGGCCAGGGCCAGAATTTTATAAATTAATTGCACGTATACATTATATTTAAAGTTAAATATTCACTTCCAGTCAAGATGGTGGCATAGGTAAACACCGTATTGCCTCCTACCACAACCACATTAAAATTACAACTAAGCTACTTTCAGAACCCCCTGACACGGAGCTGAGTGGAAGTCCTAGGACTACAGAATTAAAGAAACAGCCACACACTGAGACTGGTAGGAGGGGCGGAGGCGGAGGGGCTGGTCCCACACCCATGTGTGGCGGATAAAAATCAGGACACCTCGGATGGGAAGGTCCTCCCTGAGGAGTGAGGGGTCCCCATCGCACACCAGCCACCCAGCTCAGGGTTCCAGTTCCAGGAAGAGAAACCCCATAACTTCTGGCTGTAAAACCAGCGGGAACTGAGGCTCAGGAGGGCTACAGCTGCTGGAGCCCCAGGCAGCTCCTCTTAAAGGGCCCACGCATTGACGTACTCAGACGTGCTCCCTGTAAGCTTGGAGGGAAGGCAGCTTGAGGGGCGCCAGAGACATACAAGAAAGAACTGAGTTGTTTGACCTCAGGAAGAAGGCTGGAGAGGCAGTTTTCTCTCAGATAGATATGCTGGTGGAAGCTGATGTTGCTTTGGTAAGTCCTTTCCTGGGGCAGCAGACAGCCACCACATCTGGGACTCAGCAACCTGGCTCACACTGATTGACCTGCCCTGATGATTCCCTGAGTCGCCCCCCCACCCAAATTTTGGGCCCACCTAAGGAGTTTCCAAAGGCTTAACCATTGGATTGGCCTGTCTTGGCTCCTACTTCAGAGTTTCCTAAAATCTCTCAAACAAGCAGCATCTGGTCTCAGCGAGCCCCCCACCTCTCATTAAGTGGCCCCAGACATGACACTAGAAGCAACCAGCCTTGGTTCAGAACTTGGCTTTTCCTGAGCACCTCCAAGCCTAACACAAGAAGCAGCCATCTGCAGATCACTTTGTAGCTTATGCCAGGTGGCCCCAGATAGAACACAGGCAGTGGCTGACTTTGCCCCAGAGCCAGCACACCTAGTGGACAGCTCCAGACCACATTGAAACACCACCACCCAACCACCCGCATAGGTGACACATTCAATGAGCAGACTCAGTGGGTACCAGAGCCCTGAGGAAGTAAGTCTTGCACAGTGTGGTGGGCCCCTATTCAGCTGATCCTCTAAGATAGTCAGAGGCCAGTGGTCAGTGTGCAGAGCTTGTCCTTGCAGCTGATCAGCCTGAGTAAATCCTTCCCATTGACATGCCAACAGCAAACAAGACTCAATTACAACAGAAGGGCGTACAGTCCACACAAGGGGTGCACCTTGAGGGGCCAGCTGGGATGATCAGAGAGGCTTTGCCACTGGATCCTACAGGACACCTACAATAATAGGCCACCCTTCGAAGCCTAGGAGACATAGCAACTCTACCTAATACATAGAAACAATCATAGGGAAGCAGCCAAATTGAGGAGACAAGGAAACATGTCCCAAATGAAAGAAACAAACAAAACTCCAGGAAAATGGAGATAAGCAATCAATAAGATGTAGAGTTCAAAACACTGGTTATAAGGTTACTCAAGGAACTTAGTGAGACCTTCGAGGAACTTAAAGAGACCTCTCAGGAACTTAGTCAGAACATCAACAACATAAAAAAGGACCAGAAATGAAGGATGCACTAACTGAAATCAAGAATAATTTACAGGGAAGCCATAGTAGTAGGTAAAGCCAAGAAGCAAACCATCAATTTGGAATATAAAGAAGCAAATAATAACCAATCAGAACAGCAAACAAAGAAAGAAAGAAAAAAGAAGCCAAGAAAATGAGGATAGTATAAGGAGCCTCTGGGACAACTTCCAGTGTACCAACATTTGCATCAGAGGGGTGCCAGAAGGAAGAGAGAACAGAAACTGAAAACCTATTTGAAACAATAATGACAGAAAACTTCCCTAACTTGGTGAAGGAAACAGACATACAAGTCCAGGAAGCACAGAGAGGCCCAAACAAGATGAACCCAGAGAGGTCCACACCAAGACACATCATCATCAAAATGCCAAAGGTTAAATACAAAGAGAGAATCTTAAAAGCAGCAAGAGAAAAGCAGTCTGTTACCTACATAAGACTGTCAGCTGATTTCTCAAAAGAAATTCTGCAGGCCAGAAAGGAGTGGCAAGAGATATTCAAGGTGATGGAAAGCAATGAACTACAATCAAGATTACTCTATCCTGCAAAGCTATCAGTTAGAATTGATGAACATATCAAGAGTTTCCCAGACAAGAAAAAGCTAAAGGAGTTCATCACCAGCAAACTAGTATTTTATGAAATGTTGAAGGGTCTTCTTGAAGGAGAAGATAAAAAATATGAACAATAAAATGGCAATTAATACATATCAATCACCAATTAAATCTACAAACAAAATGAGCAAGTATAACAGAAACAGACTCATAGATATAGAGAAATTTTTGTTGCTTGCCAAATGGGCAGGGTTTGGGGGGCTGGGTGAAAACGATGAAGAAATTAAGAAGAACAAATTGGTTGTTAGACTGATGAACCTCAAAGGAAGGTGGGAGGAGGGGCAGGATTAGATAAACCAAAGAACTTCTATGCATATATGCATAAACAATGAACACCAACAATAGTGTGGGGAAGGCAGGAGTGGGTTGGGATTGAGAAGGAGGGGGTCAATGGGGAAAAAAAGGGGGAACATCTGTAATACATTCAACAATAAAAATGAGTTAAAAATTAAATTAAATTAAATAAAAATAAAGTATTCAAATTAATTTTTAATGGAAAACTTATTTGTCTTTGTCACTAAAGTGTTTCTGTAATGAACTTGGATAGTCTTAACTTAAATAAAAAAGTCAAATATTAAATTTATTATATTATAAAAAGCTTCACTCAAAGTTTAAATTGTTTTTAATAGTCATGAAATACAGTTAATACTTCCTGTGCAATATAAAAATTTAATGTCACAATAATTTACTCATGTTTTAATTTTTAATCTAATAATATAGATGTCTTTTTAATTAAAAAATTATGAAATACTTTTAAAAATATGTTTTTAAATAGTTTACTAATTTTTGAAGGAAAAGAGAGAGAGAAACATCCATGCAAGACAGAAACATTGATTGGCTGCAAACTGCATGCCCCCTACGAGGGATCGAGCTCCAGCCCTGGCATGTGCCCTTTACCTGCAATGGAACTGCAACTGCCTGGTGCATGGGACAATGCCCAACCAACCGAGCCACACCAGCCAGGGGTGAAATACTTTTTATTTTTTTATTTTTTATTTTTTTATCCTCACCCGAGGACATTTTTCCATTTTTTTGTTCAGATAGAGCGGGAGGGAGAGAGAGGAAGAGAAAGAGAAACATCGATGTGAAGGGACACATCGAGTGGCTGCCACCCGCACAACTGACCAGGGCCGGGGACAAACTGCAACCGAGGTACATGCCCTTAGCGGGAACCGAACCCGGGTCTCTCTGGACCGCAGGCCGACACTCCAACCGCTGAGCCAAACCGGCCAGGGCGTGAAATACTTTTTAAATGTAATCTATTTATTAATATTATTAGTATTATAAATATTTATATTATTAAAAAATGACTTACTTAATTTTCACCCAAAAGACTTTATTTTCAATGTACACCAGTGAAATAATTGACTAATTAAAAACAATTGCAGAAATGCTCCAATAAAACATTTTTTCTGAAAGTTTTCAATAAAGACAAATTCAAAAATTGAAAGAAAACCTTTGAATGATGACCTAATAATCTAAGAAATTTTTAATCTCAATAGAATTTAAAGGATTTTCTTACAATTTTCATTCTCTAATGTAGTAAAGAAACACAAAATAAATTGGTCCCGGTGTTTGAATCTACACTAGTCATTGACATGCTACTTTAATTCCTGTTTAATAAAACCAGGATAAGGGCAAATCTCTTTTTTTAGATAAACCAATTCTATCAGTGTGTTGGTTGCTTCAATCTGAATTTTTAAGGTAACTTTACTTTCTTTATGGAGAAATACTTAAAGAGAAAAATCACATATTTGTTTTTCAAGTCATTGAAATCTCTTCCCTGTTTGCCTGTTTTTCCTTTTTCCCAGCAGAGTTGATCTGGATCTGAGGTCTTAGCACTCACCTTCACACACACACACACCCCTCCTCTCTCTCTTTTTTTTTTTGGTACATGCCCCTAGAGGGAACAGAACCCGGGACTCTATGGTCCACAGGCTGATGCTCAGACCACTGAACCAAACTGGCCAGGGCCACATCCCTCCTCTCTTAACTACAAATATATCCAGTAAATTTTCAATCATATGTGACATTTAACATGATGCTTACTCTGGTAGCCTAAGTTGTAGAAAAAATTTCATAAAGGCTTACCCCATTTTTTGGAAAAGCAATCCATCCCAAGTCCCCCATGACAGTACGTGAATCCAATAAATTCACTGAAAGAGAAAGAAAACAAAACTGAGTCAAATGTACAAAAATGCATCACTATTTTCATAGTGTTATTAAAAGTGCATATTGCTACATAACTAAAATTAGATTAAGTATTCATTGTGATGAATACAAGAGTTAAAATTTAAAGAAAACATTTCGATGCAAGAAAACAAGTGATTTTGAATTAACATTTAGAGCAAAATTATATAAACAAGCCATTACCCTAAGTGCTTTTTTTTATCAAACAACTATAAAGAAGAATTAAAATAAGAAAAAAATATGAAAAACCCACAGAAAAAGTAGACTATACGCTCTTTTTTCAGGCTCTAGGCCTTGGGATTAAAGCTGCAGCCATAAAATTGTGGCTTAAACGTATTGTATTTTCTTCCGGAAAGCTGTTATGAGGCAATTAACAAATAATTTACATTAAACAGCAATAAACTATCCCCAAGCTTGTAACATTTTTGTGATATTAACTGAAATCTGTAATCCAAATTGCAAGTTTAATTAAGAAATAAATCTACACACCCTTAACCAAGCCAAGAAAATTGTAGCAGCTCTCAGGGTTGTTGTTACAGTTATGTGTCCGTTGCATTTCCAAGATATCTTCTACTTACATATGGCCATAATCTTGAATGTGCTTCTCATGGAACTATCAACTACATTTTTTAAAGACAGACATCAATTATGGCTGGGTATCTTAAAATACTTGGAAGTCTCAGGGTGGAAGTCTGAATAGCACCATTGCAAAAGGACACCACACAGAATTCATACACATGTGTACCCACATCCCACACACCCATGTTTCTATTTCAGGAAGTTCATCTACTGGCCCCCCAAGTTAAACTAGCTAAAAGAGCACCGTGTTGTCAAAATACTTTAGACCTGGATCACAGATCATTACATTTCCAACCTATTATGCCTAAGCCAAATGGATCCACCCTGGCCCACTGTGCAGCTGAACCACTTTAAAAGAGCATGGTATGTGGATCCATAAGGAAAACAACTAGGTTATCCCCAGTCAGAGGTATGAAGCTTTCTTAAATTAATTCAAGGGCCAGTATTTTGAAATGCTAGCAATTTTTTTAAAAAATGATTCTATTTGGAAGAGTAAGCCTGGGTACTACAGAAATAGCAGTTAATAGGCTGTTTTAATATTTCTATAAAGAAAAATAGAACAGAATTACTATAACCAAGGAAATCAAGATCATAATTTAAATACACATTTTCTACACTATAGAAATTATGCAAATTTAACTCTATTTGCCATCATTTGATTTCATAAAACATCAAACATACTTATATACTAAGTTAATACTTTATATTAGTAATATAAAGAAAAAATTTAAAATGTTAAATTTTTATAAAGCAGAAATATACTCAATACATACACACACACACACATATGCATAATATATGTGTGTGTTCAATACACTTGTCTATTTCCCTGAGCGCTGCCAATAGCTATAAAAGTACATACTTTAGAATGGTTGTATCGTCTTTAGCCTACACACATCACCTTGGCTTTAGGGAATAATAACATAAATTATTTGTAAAATTATTTTTTAGAGGAAATTGACCTAACTAAAAAACTATTGTTTAAAACAGAAAAATTAAACAATCTGTTTCACTACCCAGTGACCCTGTAAATCTCCAAGTCACTCCATTAAATCTGATTTTTTAGTTAGACCTATACTCTTTTCTTTTTATTCTATTGTTGACTTTTCTCGTTTCCATGGGAATAAGGCTACATTAAACTTAAATGTCCTTGCCCTAATTTTGGCTTTTCTGGGACACTTAGGTCTATGTCTAGACATGACTAAATACCAGGGGAGTGCAGAACCTAAATCGCTAAGTTTATTCATCTTTAAGATTTTTATTTCACCTTTGATATTCAGCAGCAGCATATCTGTGTAGACAAGATAAAGTACAGCAAATCAGAAAACTAAAGGCCTTCTACTATGATGGCAGTCAAATTAAATTTAATCCCGTGGTGGCGAACTGATGTGCTTAGGAATTCTAGGAATTCATAACCAGCCTGCCACGAGAAACACAGCATTCCTGGTAGACCTTTTCATAATATGTGGATCTTAAAATATTCATTTTTTCCAACAGAATTCCAATATCTTTCTCAAGTTTAGTTACCCTCAGTTAAATGAATGTTAATTTAAATTACTATCTTTATTCATTTTTGACCTAAAACATATGTGCATGTAAAAGTAAATGAATGAACTGGAAACACTAACTTGGCTGTTAATACAATTTATTGAGAATTTTCAATATTGAAATGCATTATTAAACACATGAAATTAACCATGATAGGAATGCATATTTTTTTCTGTATGATGATCTTGTCAAAAGGTTTTCTTCAGAGCAATAGATGAGAAAGTTTATAGCAAATACACGCATGTCACGTCCCACTAGTATCTGAAATCGCTTTCCTCTTGGACATAGATGGTTTCATAAAATTCACAATGCAAAGAAGATACAGATATATACTGTTACTGAATTGGAAATTGAGAGAAAAAAAGAAAATTAGGTGTTTTAGACAATTACTTGAGGATTACTGTAATTTTGTGCATAAAATATAGAACAAAAGGATTCAATGTCTCAGGGAAAATGACTGAAATTATATCTATATATCTATACATATATAGATATCAATATATAATGATATTACTTATGTATAGGTCTCCATATCTATCTCTGTATTGCTATATCTATAGGAAGAGAGGGGGGCTTTCTTACACCTCCAAATTTTGCACAAGCTGCTTTAGCTCTTACATGCCCTTCTCCCCTTGCTAAGTCTTCACTTGTCCTACAAAACATGTTTCAGGAACTACCTTGTCTTGGAAGCCATTTCTGATCTTCCCTTTCCTAAATCTAGGGTAAGGTATTAATACTGACTATCCAATTAGCAACCAGTTCTTATCTCCAAAACACTAAATACACAGAAGTGTATTGTTTCCTTAAAAGAACACTATTTTGACTCGTGCTTATGAATCCAGCCTGTGCTCAGAACAGCTGAATAGCCGTTTTTCTTCTAAATAAATCATTTGGTCAGTGGGCAATTTTCAAAATTGGAAGGGGGATGGTGATAATTTTTTAAGGTACATAATTAAGTGTTGAAACACTATGTTGTGCACCTAAAACTAATATAATATTTAACTATATTTTAATAGTGTATATATTTTTAAAGTGAAGGATAGGAGAGTATTTTGCCACTGGCATCTCATGGGAAGAAGCCAGGCATGCAGCTAACATCCCTCAATGCACAGCACAACCTCCCTCACTCCCAGGAAGAAGTATCGGGCTCAAATTTCATGAGTGCCAAAGTTGAGAAACCCTGGCATACACCTACAATGCTACTAGAAAATCTCTACTTTCACATATCTTTGGTTCATCAGTATCATGATCTTCATTAATAAAAGTTAGCATATTTGAAGGCATTCTGTATAATTCAAAATATCACTCCAATTTAAGGAAATAAAAGTAATAGACATTGAAGTCTCATTTAGTAAAACATATTCTTATAACCAAATTCTTGTAATTATTTTTACATAACCAATAAAGCTGTTCTTACTTATTTTCTAATGATGTTTTAATATTCATGATAGCATGTTTGAAAAAGCCACTATAACATTGCCTGAATTTCCACCACTACTGAAGCTAGTTAATAAAACCAGAAATTTAGGGTATATATAAATGTAAATTTTCAGAAGTTGATTTCCCAGCTTTATCACTAAATGTATTTGTTTATTTATTTTTGTTAGTTTTTATTGAATTTATTGGGGTGAAATTGGTTAACAAAATTACATAGGTTTCAGGCATACAATTCTATAATATGTCTTCTGTATATTGTATTGTGTGTTCACCACCCCAAGTTAAGTGCCCTTCCACCATTATTGATCCCATTTGCTCTCTTCTAGTTCCCCATCCCCTTTTCCTCTAGCAATCACCATGCTGTTGTCTGTGTCTATGACATTTTTTTCTTTGCTCAGTCCCTTCCCGTTTTTCATCCAGCCCCCCACAATCCCTCCCCTCTGACAGCTGTTAGTCTGTTCTCTCTATCTATGAGTCTGTTTCTATCTTGTTAGTTTATTTTGTTCATTATATTCCACGTATAAGTGAAATCCTATGGTACTTTTCTCTCTCTGACTGGCTTATTTCACTTAGCATAATACTCTCCATGTCTATCCATGCTGTTGCAAAAGGTAAGATTTCCTTCTTTGTCATGACTGAGTAATATTCCATTGTGTAACTGTACCACTGCTTTTATTTTCCACTCATCTACTGGTGGGTACTTGGGCTGTTTCCAAATTTTGGCTATTGTAAATAATGCTGCAATGTACACAGGAGTGCATATATTCTTTCAAATTGGTGTTTTAGGTTTATCGGATATAGTCCCAGAAGTGGAATCACTAGGTCATAAGTCAGTTCCATTTTCAATTTTTTAGTAAACTTCACAGTGCTTTCCAGTGTCTGCACTAATCTGCATTCCCAACAACTGCACAAGGGTACTCTTTTCTTCAAATCCTAGCCAACACTTGTTGTTTGTTGACTTATGATAATAACCATTCTGACAGGTGTGAGGTGATATCTCATTGTGGTTTGATTTTGCATTTCTCTGATGACTAGTGACATTGAACATCTTCTCATATGTTTATTGTCTACATCAAACTAAAATGTTTTTGCACAGCAAAGGAAATCATCAACAAAGTACAAAGACAACTCATTGAAAGGGAGAACATATTTGCCAATGATATATCTGATAAGGTGTTACTATCCAAAATTTATAAAGAACTTATAAAACTCAACACCAAAAAAAAAATTTAATTTAAAAATGTGCAAAAGAAGAGACATTTATCCAAACAGGACATACAGATGACCAGCATAAAATTTATTATAAAATGTAGTAGTGGATTTGGATCTCTACCATAGTAACAGTCACGAAGTATCATCTATGCAACAATTACAGTAATTAAATTGTTCTGAACAGTATATA